GGATTTTGACCCAACGACAGCGAAGGAACGGTGAAATATTTCTAAGTCAGGATAGTGAGTGGCTTGGAGGGGAACTTGCGGGTGATAGTGTTCTTATGTCTACTGCCCATGTCCTTCTGGAAGTGGTCGTGCGTTCAGAAGGTGCTGTTTAAGGAATCGTGGTGAATTTCTGCAGGGCGTCTTGTAGATCGTATACACTGCTGCTACTGAACATCAGTGGTGAAGGGAGTGGATGTGGTGCTAATCAAGCAGGCTACTTTGACCTGGATAGTATGAAGATTCTTGAGTGTAGTTGAAGCTGCACTCATCCAGGAAAATGGGATATATTGCATTACTGACTTGTAGATGGTAGACAGGCTTTGGAGAGTCAGGAGGTGAGTTATTCATTGCATGATTCCCAGCCTCTTTACCTGCTGTTGTAGACACTGTATTTATATAGTTGGCCCAGTTCAGTTTCTGGTCAATGGTAATCCCCAGGATGTTGATATGCCACTTGACAGCCCTATGTTATTTGCCACTTGACAGCCCTATGCTAGATATTGTTCAGGTCTTGCTATGTTTGAACAAGGACTGCTTCAATGTCTGAGGAGTTGTGAATGGTGCTGAACACTGTGCAATCATCAGCGAATATCCTCACTTCTGACTTTACAATGGAAGGAAGGTCATTGCTGAAGCAGCTGAAGATGACTGGACCTAAGACACTATCCTGAGGAACTCCTGCAGAGATGTCCTGGAGCTGAGATGACACTTTAAAACAATGCCCCCTCGTAATAGCTACCGCCACCCTAGGAAAAAGTCTCTGGCTGTCCACTCTATCTATACCTCTGATCATTTTGTACACCTCTATCAAGTCACCTCTCATCCTTCATCGTTCTAAAGAGAAAAGCCCTAGCTCTCTCAACCTTTCCTTATAAGACCTTCCCTCCATTCCAGGCAACATCCTGGTAAATCTCCTCTGCACCTTTTCCAACACTTCCACATCTTTCCTGTAATGAGGTGACCAGAACTGGACACAATACTCCAGATGTGGTCGAACCAGGCTTTTGTATAGCTGGAGCATAACTTCACGGCTCTTGAACTCAATCCCTCTATTAATGAAAGCTAACACATCATACACCTTCTTAACAACTCTATCCACCTGGGTGGCAGCTTTCAGGGAGCTGTCGACATGAACCCCAAGATCCCTCTGCTCCTCCACATTGCCAAGAATCTTTCCGTTAACCCTGTATTCTGCTTTCAAGTTTGTCCTTCCAAAATGAATCACCTCACACTTTTCAGGGTTTAACTCCATCTGCCACTTCTCAGCCCAGCTCTGCGTCCTATCAATGCCCCTTTGTAACCTAGTACAGCCCTCCGCACTATCCACAACTTGACCCACCTTCGTATCGCCCGTGAACTTACTAATCCACCCTTCCACTCCTACATCCAAATGGTTTACAAAAATCACAAATAGAAGAGGACCCAGGACAGATCCTTGTGGTACACCACTCGTAACCGAGCACCATGTTGAATATTTTCCGTCCACTACCACCCTTTGTCTTCTAAGGGTCAGCCAATTTTGAATTCAATCTGCCACATTTCCCCCTATCCCATGCCTCCTTACTTTCTGCATGAGCCCACCACGGGGAACCTTATCAAATGCCTTACTTAAATCCATGTATACCACATCCACTGCTCTACCTTCATCCACGTGTTTGGTCACCTCTTCAAAGAATTCAATAAGGTTTGTGAGGCATGATCTACCCCTCACAAATCCATGCTGACTATTACGAATCAAACTGTGCCTATGCAAGTGATCATAAATCCTATCTCTCAGAGCCCTTTCCAATAATTTGCCCATTGATGAAATATTCTAAAACATTAGGTTAGTCTCTAGAGTTGTGTGTCCAGTTCTGGACATCACATCTTAGAAAGGATTGGAAAGGCATTCAGGAAAGTGCAGAAAAGATTCATGAGAGATGAAGAACTTCAGTAATGGGGATAGATTGGGGAAGTCGTGGCAGTTCTGTCTGAACCAGGGAAGACTGAGAGGAGATAGTAGGAACTGCAGATGCTGGAGAATCTGAGATAACAAGGTGTAGAGCTGGATGAACACAGCAGGCCAAGCAGCATCAGAGGAGCAGGAAGGCTGACGTTTTGGGCCTAGACCCTTCTTCAGAAGGGATTTGATAGAGGAGAGAGGGAGAGACCGTTCCCATTGGTGGAAAGATCGAGAGTAACAGGACGCTAACTTCACCATTTTAATCAGTCTTTTCAGAGATGTTATGACACACCTCTGGAGCAGGTGAGACTTGAACCCAGGGGCCCCCTGGTGTAGAGATAGGGGACACCACAAGTCTCCCCAGACCACTAATTAAAGGTGATTGCCCAAAACAGTGACAACAATGTGAGGAAAACTCTTATGCTGCAAGTAATTTGGGCCTGGAATCCACTGAGAGGGTGGTAGAGGCAGAGTCCACCATGGATAGAAAAAGGGAAATGGATAAGTATCTGAAGAAAACGATGAGGGGCCAGGGAAGTAAGACTGTCTGTGTTGCTGTTGCAGGGAGCCAGAGATATAAGGGACTGAATGGCCTCATTTTGTCTTATAATCATTTTATTAGATTATTTGGAGCTGCTGTGCTGTGATGTACAGTTATGTTTCCAGATCTTTAGTTAGTCTCTGGTTTATTAATTCAGTAGTGACCTTGAATCTACTCAAACACAAACTGAGTAATGCCAGTTGCTCGGACTAATTTACACTTTTAATGTAACAATTCTTAATGTTACTAATAAACATTATTGCTGATAATAATATGACAGTTATAATTTTTATCTTAAACTGATTTTATTGCATACCCCATCCACTTTCAAATTCTGCCGGTAATACAGTCAAACCGTCACAGAAGCCCGAACTCAGCTGCACTGCTTTCAAAATGTGTGTTTCCCTCAACAGCAGCTCTCCCTCCCTGTCAGAGATTTCCATTGATCACAGACACACTGGGGCAAGTGATCCCCTGTCCTGAGGGTTGCTTGGTTACAACTTGCTACAACTGTACCAGACCAAATCCTGAGTACTGTGTATAGTTATGGTCACCTTACTTAAGGAAGGACATTGTCAGCAGTCTCAGAGAAGGCTCATTGGACTGATTCTGGGGATGAAGTGGTTGTTTTCTTGTGAAGAAAGATTGAGCAATTTGGGACTATACTTATCGGAATTTAGAAGAATGAGAAACGATGTTATTGAATGGAACACAAGATCCTGAGGCAGCTTGACAGGGTAGATGTTAAGAGATGTTACCATTTTGAGGGAATATAGAAATACCAAGGCTCCCATATAAAATGGAGAACAGGAGGAATAACTTCTCTCAGAAAGTCTTTACGGTTTGGAAATCTCTTAGTCAGCAATGGAGGCTGGGCCATTGAATATCTTGAAGCTGAGTTAATTTTTACATAACAAGGACATCAAGTGTTGTGCGAGGGGTGACAGGAAAGTGAAGCTAATAGGAATAGGAATTGGGGAGGCTATACATTGATGAAAGACATACTCACACAAGAAGATGATTTTTGGAGGTCAGTCATCCCTGCTCCAGGAGTTCTTCAGGAGTCCTAAGCCCAACCAACTTCAGCTGCTCCCTCAAGACCTTTTTCCACAAGGTCAGAAGTGGTGAAGTTCGCTGATGATTGCACAATGTTCAGCACCATTCATGACTCCTCAGATACTGAAGCAGCCCATGTACAAATGCAGCAAGACCTGAACAATATCCAGGCTTGGGCTAAGAAGTGGCAAATTACATTCACATTGCACAAATGTCAGGTAATGACCATCTCCATTTATCTTACCATCACTCCTTAACATTCAATGGCATTGCCCTTAGTCAATTCCCCACTATCAACATTCTTAGGATGAACACTGACCACAGACTGAACAGGACTAAACATATAAAGACTGAAATGCAGGTCAGTGGCTAGGAATTCTCACCTCCTGACTCGCCAAAGCCTGAGCACTGTCTACAAGGCACAAGTCAGGATGGAATAGTCGCCACATGCCTGGATGGGTGCAACTCCAACAACGCTCATGAAGCAGCTAACTGATCAGCTCTACATTCAGCAGCTTCAACATTCACTCCCACCACCACCAAAATGGTCAGTTATTTAACCCTCATTCCATCTCTCCTTCTCTCACTCCATATCTCGCTGTCGCAAATCATCTGTGCCTGTCTCACTCCGTCTGTCCCTCTCTCACTTCTCTCTGTCCATCTCTCCTTCTCTCACTCCATCTCTCCCTGTCGCAAATCATCTGTGCCTGTCTCACTCCGTCTGTCCCTCTCTCACTTCTCTCTGTCCATCTCTCCTTCTCTCACTCCATCTCTCTCCCTCACTTCATGTCTCCTGCACCACTGAAGAGCTGTTAACTACAGGTCAGTAGTTACCTGTTCCTTAGTGATAACTGTTTTAATTTACTCATACACTATATCCCACAACAGATTTTCTTCAAAAAATATAACATCAAATATGCAATTGACTGAATCCAAATTAACATCTCCCATTGTTTCCTTTGGAATCTGTTGTATATATGTATCATTCACTCACTGAAATATTTCTTGCAAATTAATTTTGAATCTCACCCTCTGTCATCAAAGGCTGCGCTCTCTGGTTCTACTGATCCGGACCAATCTGTCGTGATAAGCATTGTGCAGAACCTTCAAAATCGGAATAACAACTCTGAAATGACACAATCTAGACTTAATCTATATAATCATTCTTTATAACACAATCCATCCATTCCTCAACGTTACAGTAATTATTCCCTCTTACGCTGGACTGGATAATAATTTAACTGCAATATCTGGAGGTGGGGAATTGCCAGCTTGCTCTGCCACGTTTACATCTTTCCTGTTCATTTGCAACGGCCAATGATACCTCTGCTCAGTCGGAGAACAGCAATCGCAGTACCAAGTTTAGCCAGGTGGGGTCAGTGTCCAACAATCTGGCAATGCTTCATAAAGACAGAGCAAGGAGAATGAGGCTGGGAGATGGAAGTTCACCAGGGGAATTATCCGTAATATTCAATTTCTAGGTCGTTGAGCTTTTGGCAGTCTTTCATTTTCACCCCAGGCAAATTCAGTGATTGCTTTTAAGAATTCTTGGTTCCAGTACAGTGCTAAGCTTGGTCACATGCCTGTCAACATACCATCCCACCCCACACTCTTTGGAAATTTAACAATGTTAACCTCAGATATGAGGATAGATGAGAGAGGTCAAGCTGTTTTTCTTCACAAAGTGAAAGCTCAGAAGAGATTTGATGAAATGTTCAAGATTGTGAGGGGTCTGGACAGAGTCAAGGGAGAACATGTTGCAACTCGTGAAAGAATCGAGAATGAGAGACAGATTTAAGACAATCGTCAAATGAAGCAACAAACTCTAGCTTTTTCATGCGCCGAACCAGGATCCGGAATACACTGTCTGAGGAGCCTGGTGGATGCTGATTTAATCAAATCATTCAAGATGAAATTGGCTCATTACATGGAGAAAACATTTGCAGAGCTACTGGGGAAATATGGAATTGAGACAAGGTGAGTTGGTCTTGTAGATGGCCAGCACAAACACGGTGAGCTGAATGGCCTCCTTCTGTGCTGGAACCATTGCTGTAAGCACATCTGAACATCTTAACCATTTCCCCGTCAGGATACAACTGGTGATGGTGTCTGGCTACCCTGGAGCCAATGGGAGTTGGGAGAGGTGTGTTCTGGCTCAGGGGTGGGGTGGGAGAAAGGTGAAAGGCTGGTGCTGACAGCCAGCAATAACCTCTGGCTATGTGCTAACCTGCTGGCCCCTACTAAATGCCGTTCTGTTACGTTTCTGGATCCCTTTCTGGGGTGAGGAACAAGTGCTGTTGGTGCAGTTATGGCCTATAGAGTTTTAAACTCTGAATATTAACTGGCATCAGTCCTGGAGCTCCAGTTCCCTGACCTGTTAAAATCTTACACCCATTAGGGAGTTAAATAATACCACTACTAACCTTTAAAGAACCATATTGCTTTGAAGTAACATTTTATGATTTGGCCTTAGCTATCTTTTTAAAACAGCTTAGTTTGAATTTCTGCTCCTGAAGGCAATGAACAGATCAGCTTCATGACAAATGGATCTTGACAACCTGGTGGCCATTTAAAAGCAGCTGGATGGTCTGGCTTCAAGCTGTTGTGTCTGTTTTAATTCAAGACTTCCTTGTCAGCTTCAAAGAAATAAGCAAAACATTGAAATCCACAGCTTGAGCTTAGCATGACATTTTGTCCTTAAACAACATCCAGGTATTATTAGGTTCTAGTTCATTGCTTTCACAGAATCACAAATGCAATGGTGCAGGAGGCCATTCACCCCATTGTGGCTGCCCCAGCTATCCAAATGAGCATTGTGACTTAGTGCCATTCTCCTGACACCCTTGCCTTTTGTTTCTATTTACATCATCATCCAATCATCAATCATCCTTGAATGCTTTGATTGGCTCTGCCTTCATTTCACCTGCAGCTAGTACATTTCAGTCCCAGTCCACTCTTGAAAACTTTCTTCGGACCTCACATTTGCTCCTTCTGCAAATCACTTTAGAGCTGTACCCTCTGGTTCTTGACCTTTTGAGTGCAAACATTTTCCCCATTGGCTTATGATTTGAAAAGCTCTATCAAATCTTTTCTCAGTCTTCTTCTCTCCAAGGATACAGTCTCAATGTCTCCCATCTCTCTTCACCCACCGAACCATCCTGACAAATCTGTTTTGCATTCTGTCCAATATATTTACTTCTTTCCTAAATGTAGGATCCAGACTTGTACATTATTCCCTTGCTGTAGGTCTAGAACTTACATATTCAGCATAACATCCTTACATGTGTATGTCACAATTAATAGTGTGTAGAATACTGTATGCTTCATTAACTGCTCTGTTGTGCCATATTTAATGACTTCTGCACATGTACACTCAGGTCTCTTTGCTGCTATACCCCCTTTAGAGTAGTAACCTTTATTCTACAAGCTCCGGTTCTTCTCTACTTAAATTATCTATTTAAACCTCATCAGCCTTTATCTGCCCACTCCACCAACTTGTCAATGTCCTTTTGAAGTTGTACGCTGAACTTTTTGTTGTCAACAAACTTTGTATTGTCCCCTACACTCTAAAGATCTAAATCATTAATATTAATCAGTAAAGGCAGGGGTTCCAATACTGACCCCTAGAGAACTTCACTCAAGAGCTTCCTCCAGCCCAAGAAATATCCATTAATTATTACTGTTTCCTGTCTCAGCTAATTGTCTCCACATTGCTACTGTTCCTTTTATACCATGACTTATGACTTTCCAGAATTCTTTCTTGGCACCAGATCAAACGCATGAAAGTCCATGTGTATACCAGGTCAACAGTGTTACCCTCATTGAGTCGGTTCTCTCAAAAACTGTTGCAAGTTAGTTAACCATAATTTCTTAAGAAATCCATGCTGGCTGTCCTGGACTTACCCATGTTTGTCTACATGACTATACCCTGTATTATTGTTTTGAGGAGTTTCTTCCCCAACAAATTAATACTGACTGGTCTGTAACTGAGGCTTTTCCTTGCACCCTTTAATTGTAAAAGAGATTGAAATGTTTGCTGTTATCCAGACTTCTAGCATCAATCTGGAGTCTAAGGAAGATTGAAAAATTGTGGCCAGTTCCTCTGCAGTTTCCATCATTATCTCTTTCAATATCCTTACATACATTTCAATTGGTCTGGTGCCTTATCAACTTTATTTACAGTCAGTCCAATTTCTCTTCTGTCACCCCGAACCGCATAGTGAAATAACTCCACATAGACTAGTATCCTGTCACCAAATCATCCTTTATTTCCACTTTGAGAATCCTTTATACCAATTGTTTCCTCAGAGCCAGCTCTCAAAGTGAACAGGATGTCTCATACTCCTGTTTATATCTATCAGCCAGGGCTCCCTTATTGGACCAGATTAACAGCCCCAAACAGGGAACTCAATCTATGAGGTCCACCAGGTGACCTCATTACCAAGAAAACAGATGTTGTCTGTAGTGATTGTAAAGACAGATATGGGCAATGATCATCTCCAGTGAGAGATGCTAACTACTGCACATTCAAAGGTGTTACTGGAAATAAAATGGGACTCGCCATATGAAAACAATGGCTACAAGAGCAGGTCCGAAGCTAGGAATACTGCAGTGATTAACTCACCTCCTGACTCCCCAAAGCCTGTCCACCAGCTACAAGGCACAAGTCAGGACAGTGATGGAATACTCCCCAGTTGCCTGGATGGGTGCAGCTCCAACAACACTCAAGAAACTTGATACCAGCCAGGACAAAGCTGCCCGCTTGATTGGCACTACATTCACCAACACCCTACTCCCTCCACCAATGATGTTCAGTAGCAGCAGTGTGTACTATCTACAATATGCACTGCATAAATTCACCAAGGATCCACAGACAGCACCTTTCAAACCCAATACCATTTCCATCTAGAGGAACAAGGGCTGCCAATATATGGGAACACCACTACCTGTGAGTTCCCCTCTAAGGCACTCACTATCCTGAGTTGGAAAAATATGGCCTTGCATTCACAGTCACTGGGTCAAAATCTAGAATTCCCACTCTATAACAGCATTGTGGATCAACTTACAGCAGGTGGAACATTGTGGTTCAAGACAACAGTTCACCACCATCTCAAGGGCAACTAGGGATGGGCGCTAAATTCTGGCCCAGCCAGCGACACCCACATCCCATGAATGATCAATAAAAAACAAAGTATTCTTTTCATACTACAGCCATGTCCCTTGCTTTGGTATGTAATTCCCTTTTTTATCTCAAATCAGTGATTTTTTTAACATGTTTGCTATTTACATGCCTTTAGAAGATTTTGAATGTTCCCTTTTAATGTTGGCTCTCAGTCTTTCTTAATCCATTTTTTGCTTCTCTTATTTTTCACCTTTCAGCTGGTGATTTGTATTCAGCCTGACAGAACTCTCAGCTTCGGACAGGACTTTTCTTGGCAAATGGGGGTGGCATCTGGTGCCTATGTAGGGGGAAGTTGATATCCAGGTCAAGGTCTGACCTCATTCCCACACTCTTCTGGCCTTTTCCAGATTAGGATTAAAGAGAAAGAATTAAACTTACTTGAATCTATTAAGTAAGGAATTAGGAAGTAATAGAATTTGTTAAATGGGTAACTATTTGCCTGTTTTCACCCTAGATCCCGAATTCCCCTGCCAGTACATTTGTTCCTGATCTGTTAGATAATCACCAAGGTGTGCACAATAGGAAAAGCTTCTTCAGTGAGTGAAGCTGACAGGCTGGGAACATTTGATCAGTTACACTGAAGAGCTTCAGCCATAACCAGATGAGAGACTGCTGCTCAAAGCATTCTCTCTCAGAATACCCTTATGAATTAGGAGCAGAACCAGACCATTTGGCCGCTCGAGTTGAGTTTTGAATTCTATATCCCCACCTATCCCCGATAACCTTCAATTCCTTGCTCAACAAAAATCTACAAAACTCAACCTTAAAATATTCAATGAACCCATCTCCCCCGACCTGAGGCAGAGATTTCAAATGTTCCACAACACAAAAAAACTCTCATCTTAAGTTTCCTGATTTTAATTACCCTACAATTGACAGCTGTACCTTCAGCCACCTGGCCTTAAGTTCTGGAATTCCTTCCCTAAATCTCTCCACTTCTCAACACCACTTCCATCCTCTGTCACACTCCTTGGAACTTACCTCATTGGCCAAACCATTGTTTGCTGAATATCATTTTTGTGGTTCAGTGTCCCATGTTGTTTGATAGTCAATGCTGGGGGCTGACATTGTCAAAATAATATCCTGTGTCAGAGGCAGCTTTTTCTTTTCTTGATTTAGTGTGATAAACACCAACATTTCTATAGTGCACCTCAAAACATAAGGATACTCTAAATGTAGTCACTGCCTTCATGTAAGAAACAGTGACCAATTTATATACAGCAAGATCCCACTAACAGCAATATGATCATGAGCAGATGACAACATAGAATGCTTACAGTGTGGAAATAGGCCAATCAGCCCAACAAGTCCCACCAAAGAGCATCCCATACAGACCAATCCCCCTACCTTTTCCCTGTAACCCTGCATTTCCCATGGAAAATCTACCTAACTTACACACCCATGGGCACTACAGGCAATTCAGCATAGCCAATCCACCTAACCTGCATTTCTGCGGTAGTGACCTCCAACAGTGCAGCACTCCCTCAGCATTGCACTTTTTGCATCTGCTTGAATTACATGTTCTATCATGGGTGTGGGCCTTGAAATGCACAATCTCTCAACTCATTCAGAGGTCAGCATGCTCTCCCAGAGTCACTGCAAGGTAAAAGCTGAATAAAGAACAATGCAGCACAGGGACAGTCCCTTCAGCCCTCCAAGCCTTTTGCCCTTCTATACTAAAACTGTCTTCACTTACAGGTTCTATAACCCGCTGTTCCCTTCCTATTCATGTATTCATTAAGGGCTTTCTCTGGCAGCCCATTCCAGGTTTTGTGTGAAAAACCTGCCTCACACATCTCTTAAACTCTCCCCCACATCTTGACCTTGTGTCCCCTAGTAATTGACCCTCCACCCTAGGAAAAAGACTTATGCTTTCCACTCTATCCATGCCATTCACAATCTTATAAACTTCTGTTAGGTCACCCCTCAATCTCCTGCATTCCAGTGAAAACACACCTAGTCTATCCAACCTTTTTTCATAGCTAAAATCCCTCAATCCAAGCCACATCCTGGTAAACCTTTTCTGTACCCTCTCCAAAGCATCTGCATCTTGATGGTAGTGTGGTGATCAGAACTGTATGACACAAACTCTGGGAATTTTATCCCAAAGGCTGCAAGTTATTTACCACCTTGCATTCCACTAATGAAATAGCTGTAACAAAGTTTGTTAATTTGTCCAATTAAAATTCTCATCAGATGACCCATTTAATCAGCCAAGCTGTAAATTATTCAATTATTTCATCTATGTCAGGAGTTTATTGAATTGCTGGAATGAGTTAGTAATATAATTTATTTATCTTGGTCATTTAATTATTTATTATTCCAGCCAGTAAAGTATAAAACCAGCTGATAGTTTATTTATTCAAAAGCCCTCGTTAACCTACTGGTAGCTGCTAATTTATCTCTTTAATCAACTTTAGTCATTGATGAAATGTTAAGATCAAAGGAAAGACCATGTGAGATATGATTGTTGAAATTCTGTTCTTGGTATCATTTCCAGACAATCTTCAACAGATCTAATTGTATTTGCTTTTCAGACTCAGCAAAGAAAGTCCAGGAAGCTTGTTGTGGTACTGAGTGACACAGAGCATGAAACATCCTGGACCCAAATTGAGACTTTCTGTTACCTCTTCAAAACACTCCAGCAAGTTAATTAAACATGATTTCCTCTGTAGAAATCTATGCTGACTCTTCCTAATCAACACAGTTTTATTCTGTGGACAACATATCTACCCTGAATAATTGTTTTTGGATGTTTCCCCTTCATTGAGTTTTGTCTTCAGTAATTTCTTCCTTACAACCTACCCTTGTAACCTTACTCAATCTGTTCTAATGCCTCTTGTTAGGTCACCTTCACATTCTCTTTTTTTCTTCGAATTTTCTTGGTCGTGTTGTTTATTGTAACATTCTCCCAATCCAGAGCTTTATTAATTCTTTTGACAATGTAAATGGGCCTCTTCCTTGATTCTAACATTACCTTTAACTCAGTTTGTAAACCACAATTGAACCACATTTTTCACTGGATTTGTATTTCATAAAGGTGTGTATATTTGTTGCAGTTTAATGAACTAACCCGTGAAAACAGTATTGTTGTTGAGTCCACCATAAATTATTTTAATCTAGTTTCCATTCTTCCTTAGCCAGCTTTACTTCACTCAGTGTTGATTTAAAACCTCTGTTTGGGCTTAACTATATGATTTAACAACTCAACATTCAATCATCAAATCCCTACGGCATGGGAAACAGGCCCTTCATCCCAACAAGTCCACACCGCCCCTCAGAGCATCCCACCCAGACCCATACCTCATAACTCATCTAATCTACACATCCCTGGACACTATAGGCAATTTAGCATGACTAATTCTACCTAACCTACACGTCTTTGGACTGTGGGAGGTAACTGGAGCACCCAGAGGAAACCCACACAGACACAGGGAGATTGTACAAACTACACACAGTCACCCAAGGGTCGAATCAAACCCAGGTCCCTGGCACTGTGAGGCAGCAGTGCTAACCACTGAGCCACCATGCTGCCCTGTTACAACACTGATAAATTTGGAGTTTTGAAATGAAATTTCCATCACTTGATTGTTATACCTGAACATCAAATGGTTTTTTAAAAAAACACCAACATGAATAGGATGTGAATGAAAGACCTGCAGTTGAAATCAGACCAGTAAGAAGTATCTCTATTATGTCAATTAGTAATAGACGGTGACCTGACGGGAGAGAACTCATGCCCTGGGGCCAGAAGGTCATGGGTTCAGGTCCAACATCTGAAACATGAGCACAACATCGAGGCAAACTCTTTCAGCACAGTACTGAGGCAGTGCTTCACTGTCGGAGGGTCAGTGCTGAGGGAGTGCCGCACTGTCAGAAGGTCAATGCTGAGGGAGTGCCGCACTGTCGGAGGGTCAGTGCTGAGGGACGGCCGCACTGTCGGAGGGTCAGTACTGAGGCAGTGCTTCACTGTCGGAGGGTCAGTGCTGAGGGAGTGCCGCACTGTTAGAGGGTCAGTACTGAGGCAGTGCTTCACTGTCAGAGGGTCAGTACTGAGGCAGTACTTCACTGTCGGAGGGTCAGTGCTGAGGGAGTACCGCACTGTCAGAGGGTCAGTGCTGAGGCAGTGCTTCACTGTCGGATGGTCATACTGAGGCAGTGCTTCACTGTCGGAGGGTCAGTGCTGAGGGAGTACCGCACTGTCAGAGGGTCAGTGCTGAGGGAGTGCTTCACTGTCAGAGGGTCAGTACTGAGGCAGTACTTCACTGTCGGAGGGTCAGTGCTGAGGGAGTACCGCACTGTCAGAGGGTCAGTGCTGAGGCAGTGCTTCACTGTCGGATGGTCATACTGAGGCAGTGCTTCACTGTCGGAGGGTCGGTGCTGAGGGAGTACCGCACTGTCAGAGGGTCAGTGCTGAGGGAGTGCCGCACTGTCGGAGGGTCAGTACTGAGGGAGTGCCGCACTGTCAGAGGGTCAATACTGAGGGAAAGCTGCACTGTCGGAGGGTCAATACTGAGGGTGCGCCTCACTTCACATGGTCAATACTGAGGGAGTGCCGCACTGTCAGAGCGTCAGTGCTGAGGGAGTGCCTCACTTTGGGAGGGTCAGTACAGAGGGAGCGCCGCACTGTGGGAGGGTCAATATGGAGGGAACGCCGCCCTATTGGAGAGTCATTACTGAGGACGTGCCACAGTGTCAGATTGTCAGTGCTGAGGGACTGCTGCACTGTGGGAGGGTCAGTACGGAGGGAGCACTGCACTCTCAGAGGGTCAGTGCTGAGGGTGTGCCGCTCTGTCAGAGAGTCAACTCCAAAGAAGCCTCTATATTCCACTGATGCCTTGAATACATGATGTCTTCATCAATGGAGCAGAGATCTGGACAATTTCCTGAGTATTTCCAATCCTCGGGAAGCCAGAACTTTCAAATGGCTGACAGTGGAGTCAGCAGTCCTTTAACAGTTAGGGCTCTCTGGACATCCCATCGTTCTGCCAATTGCATTGTTTCATGCTCTTGTGAACATTGTCTTTGTGACTGTTCACATTGCCTGGCAATGTCAAACCTCAATTTGTCTTCCTTCTTTGAAAGACTTGCATCTATATAGCACTCTACACATTCATAGAGCTCCTCAAAGAGCTTTACAGTTGAAGAAACACAACAGCGATTTTGTTCACAGCCAGATTACACCAACATTGTAGCAATCTGGTTTGGAACAGTTAATTTCTGTAATAATGTAATTGCAACTCCCATAATGATGACTGAGCCGGACATAAACATGACTGAGAGACTTGGAGAGAGTGGAATCATGCTTTCAGTACTGGAAGATAAGTCGTATAGATTTGTGGTAAATCCATCAATATATAATAAGTTAGTTATTGTGTGAATATACCAATGGCTCAGCAATCATTTCACAGCTCAACTAACCAGCAAGTAACAAAAATGGTGAGATCATCTGTTGGAGAGATAAATATTCTTCAAGAAACTGGGGAGAGCTCCCCTGCTGCTCAAAATGGCACAAACAAGGAGAGCAGGGCATCAGAACCTCCAACAGTGTAATGCACCCTCTGTACGGCACTGGAATGCCAGTCTTGGGTTTTACACTCAAGCCCTGGAGTAAGATTTAAACCTGAAACCTTGTGAATCAAAAGTAAGATTGCTGGCTACTGAGCCAACCTGTCTTGAGGTGTACATAACACAGTGTGGAGCTGGAGGAACACAGCAAGCCAGGCAGCATCAGAGGAGCAGGAAAGTTGATGTTTTGGGTTGGAAACCTTCTTTAGACTGACCCGAAACGCCAGCTTTCCTGCTCCCCTGATGCTGCCTGGCCTGCTGTGTTCCTGCAGCTCCACACTGTGTTATCTCAGACTCCAGCATCGGCAGTTCTTACTATCTCTGTCTAGAGCTGTGATAGGAATTGGTGAACAACTTTGAATTGGCAGTCATGGAGTTTTTTTAAAGCTCTGGTTAGGCTCCAACTGCAATCAGTGCCTGGCCACCACACATCAGAAAGGACAGTGTCCAGTGCAGCGTCGCCAGAATGACAACAATGCTGAAAAGGTTAAATTATGCAGCCAGCTCACCTAGACTACAACTCACAAGAAGTTTGTCTGCAGATACATCAAGTAATTAGAAAGGCAAATGTAATGTTGTGGTTTATTGCACAATGGAATGTAGAAGTATTGCGCCAGTTGGTGAGACAACAGCACAAGCACCTGTGTACTCTTGTGCCGTCCTTACTTAAAGGATTTAACTGCATTAATAGCTGTTCCAATATGGTTCATTGACTGTTTCCTGAGATGAGGGGGTTATCTGATGAGGAGAAGTTGGACATGAGCTATATCTCTTGGAGTTTAGAAGAATGAGAGGTCACCTTATTGAAACATATAAGATCATGAGAGGACTTGACAGAGGGATTCTGAAAGGAATCATCAGCAAGATTTGAACTACCACAGACAGTTTAAAAATGAGGGGGTCACCCATTTAAAATGGAGACAAGGAGAAATGTTTTTCTCTCAGACAATAGTGAGTCTTTGAAATATTCACCTCTAGAGACTGGTGAAGACAGGCTCATTCACTAGTTTTAAAGCTGGGGTAGATAGATTCTCCATTAACAAAGGAATGTGAAGCTGAGGCCAAAATAAGTCAATCATGATACTAAATAATGGTACAGGCTCAAGGGGCTGAATGGCCTCCTGCTCTTAACACGTGCAAACTGGGTCATATATCTTTGAATATCGAAGACTTTGGGGTTATCTAATCGAGCTGTTTAGGGGAATTAAAAGATTATATAGGCTTGAGAGAGGAACTACTCCCTCTTTTAGGGGTGTGCTCTGGAACAAGCGACAAAAACCTTAAGTCTTAAATGTTAAGACCTTAAGGTACATAACTAGTCAGGAGTGATGTAAAAACACTTCTTCACAAAGAGCATACATTGCCCTTTAAAACTGTAAACCTTTTAAAAACTACAATTGGTCGATTTCTCATAGGTGAGGCATGTTATTGGTTATGGAACTCATACAGGTGAATGGAGTTCCAGTTTGCTATGATCTGATTGAGCAGTGAAATAGCTCAAGGGACTGAATGTTCTCTTGTTCCTGTGTTCCACATCTGTTCTATAAGAATGTTGTAAATGATTACCCGAAATGAATATTGCAGCTATACAGATAATGGAGTTCTTTTGTTACTAGATCAATCTTGAGAACAGATAGTAAGTTAAATATCAACCTGGCAGTTTCTGATTAGGAAATCAGTTTAAAAATGGGGAAATAAAAAAGGAGGCATCAGTAAAAGTGACCATGAAACTACAAGGTTGTTGTAAAAACCTAACTGATTTAGGGAAGGAAACCCAGTCTAACTGGCACATGACACTAGATCCCAGATGGTTAACTGCCCTCTGTATTGGTCTAGTACATCCCTGAATAATATCAAAACTGCTACCAGCTCTTTGGGAAGAACGTTCATATGACAGTACAGGCACACAGTCAATTATTTTGTGAATATTGGACTTGACAAGTTGGACATGTTTCAAAATATCTCCTTTAACTTAAAGTAAAGTTGGAAATGCCAGAAACACACCAGCTTTAAGATGTCCTCACATGATTTGGTTGCCTAGAGGGCAATTAAAAGCTATTGAAATTAAGTGACAGTTACATTATGAAACAGGGGGAGAGAGATATGGTGTGATGAAGCAGGATTCCTATAGGTTTACTTACTGTTTCAAAGTAAAGGGGAAGAACAGATGTGTTGTTTGGAGATCTAAGGAACAAGGAGTTGCCAAGGTGTGCCTTTCTGGAGAAAGTTAAGTCTGGGAGAGGCAGGCACTGAAAGGAATGAATTTCAAAGAGCACTGAAAGTTGCAGTTTAATGTGGGAGGGAATAATTAGCTTGCCAGAGTGCCGGGAGCAATATTAGACTTGTTCTTGTAACGTTACACATCTGTCAGAAGAGTGTTATGCAGAGAAAGATATTGTAAGATGCACCTCAACTTATTAATTAATGTGAATGTGACTTCTTTCATTCGATGTATTAGTGCCCTGTTAAGTAATGTCTGATCTATATTCATTTTACTTTGTTTCTTACAGTAAAAGACATAAAACGTGAAATTATCCTTTCTGTTGATTAATTGGGAAATTTGGTTCTTAAAATATTGTCAATTTCCATGGGGATCGTAAACATTCAACATTAATAGAGTAGTGTTTAAAGTTAGAGGAAGTAGAAAGTACCTTGCTTTCAGTTGCGGACATTTAGGTTTAGTCACTAAACCACTGTGTGAGTTTCATTACATTTCCTTTTTCATGCTCACAATTCCTCATACCAAACCAGTTTCTCATCAGTGACTAACATTACAGAACACCAACTACCGAGAAGCAGTTTCCTCATTTGCATGCAGAATCTGTCGGAACAGAGATACGCTTCTGTGCATGAGGCTCATAAACTGAATCCTGAGTGGAGAGATTACAGGAGCCCAGACACTTGCCAAGGACGGAGTCTGATCTAGGGACAGTGTCTGGTTCAGGAACAGTGTCTGGTCCCGGAACAGTGTCTGCCTTGTACAGGGTCTGATAGGCAGCAGGCATTGAGTAGTGGAGATGGTTCTGGGTGTTGATATGAATTCTCTGTTGAGCTATGTGGAGCCAGTAGTGGTTGTTACCAATGTGGCCAATTCCCTGTTTGATACAGCACTACTGATGGAGGTATATGACCACCTGAATGGGACAGCGGCTGGAAGCAGTGACCTGGTCCAGAAGGAAGTGGCCCGGTTCTACATGATTTACAACATGATCTACTCGTTAGCCCCCTTACTGACCACGGTGCTTCTGGGAAGGTGGGCTGATTGCCAAGGCCAGAAGGTGCTACTGGTGGTGCCATTACTGGGCTACCTGCTGGGAAGACTCTTACTACTGTTCACCCACATTTTCCAGCTGCCTGTCAATGTGATGTTCGGCTCTGCTGTGATCAATGGATTGACTGGAGGATTCCCAGCTTACTGGAGTGGGATTAATGCCATCACTGCCCTGAGGTCAGGACCAGCCAGACGCAGTCTGAGGTTAAATATACTGGAGGTAGCGTCGGGGATAGCTGGATTCATTGGCAGTGTGGCATCTGGCCACTTCTTCCTGATGAAAGTTAACAACCAACATGGGCTCTTACTGATCTGCCTGTGCCTGACTCTGTACTTACTAAGTCTGCTGTATTCAGCATTTATCCTTCGTTATCCTTCTGTCCAACCACAATGTCAGGTTCCCACAGAGGTGAATGACCCCAGCCCGAAGAGATACAGCATACAGATGGCTCTTCTCTTTGTCTGCTACCTCCTGTATGATTTTGGAGTGACTGGTGGTGAGAACATCATCTCAATCTTTGTCCTGAAGCCCCCCTTGAGCTGGGATGCAGTCTGGGTGGGCTACGGTAAAGCTGCTTGCTACGTCATGTTTCTGACCAGCTTTCTCGGAGTTCTGATTCTCTCCAAATGGCTGAGTGACACCTCCCTGGTGTTTACGGGCATCATCTCCAATACGTCTGGGTTCATCACCATGGCCTTTGTGAGGAGGAGTTCAGTCTATTTTGTTGGTAAGTACCACACTCCCCTTTAACCGCACCGATAACAATTAGACAAACTCCTCTGGCCTCTGGAGCCTCCATTTTAATCATTCTTGAGAGATGGGTATCACTAGCTAGGCCAGCATTTAGTACCCAGTGGGTAATTGCGATTCAACCACATTGCTGTAAGTTTGGAGGCACAATTAGACCAGACTATGTATGGATGGCAGCTTTCCTTCCCTGAAAGGGATTCATGACTCTGACAGGTTTTTGTTGCAATAATTGACACTGGTTTCAATTAAACTAACTTTTGATTCCTTATTTTTAATTGAATTCAACTTTCACCATCTGCTGTGGGTGACTTTGATCCCCTGTTCCCACACTGGGGCTCCACATTACTGGTCTAGTGACAATACCACTACACCGCTTCCTCCTCTGAGCAATAGTAATTAAAGTCATTATTTATTCAAATATTTGGAAAAAATAGCAATGAGGTACAGAAAGGATATAGGATTGGGAGTAGGGGGCCATTTATGTAATTGCCTGGAATCTAAACACTGGAAAATCCTAACCACAGATGCAGTTTCCTGTCTTATTAGTAATCCTCAGGCTTGTGATCTCAAGCATGAACTTGAAGTCAGTGAATTTTGTAATTCATGAATTGGCTTCAGTGAAGCACTCGGATTATTGTAAACCACAACAGATATCCTTTGTGATATTTTGACATTGTGAAACGTGATTTCTTTTACACTTTTGACGTATATTTCCCTTGGCATGATTCCGATTGAGGCTCCTGGCCCCATCAACATTCCCACATGTTGAGGATGAATCAAAAGGCAAGTTTGAGATCACAGGTTCAAGTATTTGACTAATATTCCCTATTGCGTCATTAATCTGCCTGATGCTGTCAGTATTACAGGATTTAAAAAAAGGTTTTATGATGGTTTATCCCTCACAGAGATTAGTTTAGTATTCCAAATGCAGTCACAAATCACAAGCATTATTTGAGGTGCAAGATGTCTACCCATTTCCTGAGGACTGCTAAGCAGCAAGGCAGACTGTGTGGTCATGTGACTGTACTAATTGGCACAACAGGGCAGGGCAGGGCAGGGCAGAACACGTAGGCACTGAATGAGTAAATGCTAAGAGAGCAGCCTGGTCTAATCTGTGACCTGGGTGCCTGTTCCTATGAGAAAATATCCCTGCAGCAACCTTTCAATGTTAGTTGTTGGTGCGCCCTTAGTTGCAGGTCTGTGCTTCCAGAGCGGGTGTATCAGAGAGAAGTCTTGATGGTCATGAGAAGATGCCAATGCCTGTGGACAAGGGCTGCGTGCAGCTGGTGCCCTGAGCTACTGTTTGGTGCTAAGCATCACGGCTTGATATGGCAACTGCTCTGCCCAAGACCATAAGAAACTACAGAGAGTTGTGAACACAGCCCAGTCTGTCACACAAGCCAACCTTCCATCCATTGACTCCATCTATACTTCCCACTGCCTCAGGAAGGCAGCCAACATAATCAAAGATCCCTCCCACCCCAGTTATAATCTCTTCCAACCTCTTCCATCGGTTAGAAGATACAAAAACTTAAACACACGTACCAACAGACTCAAGAACAGCTTCTTCCCTGCTGTTATTAGACTGCTGAATGGACCTCTCAAATTTTAAATTTAATGTTGATCTCACTATTTGTGCACCTTCTCTGCAGCTGTAACATTATATTCTTCACTGTTCTATTATCCCACTTTGTATAGTATGCTGTCCCTGTACTGTACACAAGAAAAAGCTTTTCAAACTGTACCTAGGTACATGGGACAACAATAAATCAAATCAACATGGAGGCTTCTCACAGCCGGCATTGAGCTGAATTCACCAGGTACTCGCCCTGACTTCCAGGCTGAGACTATTTTCATTCACTGTGCCTCCCTTGAAGCCAGGATGCTCCTGACCATGAACAAATCTCCCCTCCCACATGACCCCTCCCATCCACACTTTTCCATATCCCACCTTGGAAATACTGTCAGCCCCTTCACAATTATCTTACCCCACCATGGGTGGTGCAGTTCCCAACTCCCTGGGAATATCTTGCCAAGTCTTCCCTCTCACAGCAGCAGCAACATTGCCCACGTCCACCTCCCCACCACATTTACGTTACTAGGTGTTGCGTTGACTAAATATAGCGCATTATCCCCAAAGGGTTTAGAGCAGGAGAAACTGAGAGGGGCAAACAAAATGTTGGGTCTACCTACAGCACATACACTGTAGCAGTACAAGAAGGCAGCTCACCACCACCTTCTCAAAGGCAACTACGGTTGGGCAATAAATGCTGGGCAGCCGGTGACACCCACGTCCCATGTGAGATTTTCAAAAGTTAGATAAAATGCTTCACTTTTTTCATTCCTCCTGTCAAAATGGACAATTTCATGCTTTCCCACATTTTCCAAGTCCGGCACTGTCCCTGGTGGCATACCATTTGTTACATCTTGCCAACCAGAAGCTGACCCATTTATGCCCACTGTTAGCTCACCAATCTTCTTTCCATTGTTACCTCCTACACCATCAGCTTTTATTTTCCACACGAATCTTTGATGTGACACTTCATCAAATGCCTTCTGAAAATCTAAATACGGCATATACATTGGCTCCCCTTTATCCACTGTACGTGTTGCTCCCTCAAAGATATCCAACACATTGATCAAACATGATTTCCCTTTGACAAAACCATGTTGATTCTGCCTAATTACCTTGAAGTTATCTGAGTGCCCTGTTATAAATTCTGTAAAAATAGCCTGTAACATTTTCCCTGCCAAGCTAACTGGCCTGTAGGTTTCTCGTTTGCCTCCCTTACTTTTTGAAGAAAAGGAACTGCATTTTCCATTCTAGTGGAACCATCCCTGAATCAAGGGAAATGATTCAATAACCAACTATCTCACTAACCACTTCTTTTAAGACCTTGGGATGAAGTCTATCAGGACCTGGCACTTATTAACCCTCAGCTCCAACAGTTTAGTCAGGACTACTTCTCTAGTGATTGTAATTTCTTGATTTACTCCCTTCCTTCCATTTCATGATTAACAGCTATTTTTGGGATCTTACTTGATTCCGCTTCATAGAAACTAGGAGCCAGAGTAGGTCATTGAACTCTTTGACCTTGTTCTGCCATTCAGTATGATCATGGCTGATCCCTGAGCTCATTCCTGCTTTCTCCCGAGACTCTTTGATGCCTATAAAATTGTGCTGCAGCTTTATGCAGTCATTCTCCATTTAAATAATATTCAGCTCCTGTATTCTTCCTGGCAAAGTACATGACCTCACATTTCCCCATGTTATATTCCATTTACCAAGATTTTGTCCACTCGCTTATCCTATCTATATTCCTCTGCAGACTCTTTATGTCATCCTCACCACCAGTGATCCCTCTAATTCTCTTACCAGCTGCAAGGACTGCAAGGCTTGTGCGTGCCAGTGATTTCTGGAATTGGAATGTCAATGCCATGATTGGCATGAAATTGCATGGAACATCGGAGTGGCTGTGCAGCTTAGAGGGAACGTTGCTCACTACTTGCCTTCCAATCTGTTTTTGTGTCATCTGCAAATGTGGAGACAGTTCAATCCTTTCCTCGTCCAAACTATTAATATATAGAGTCATAGAGCCGTACAGCACAGAAACAGACCCTTCGGTCCAACTCGCCCATGCTGACCAAATATCCTAAATTAATCTAGTCCCATTTGCCAGCATTTGGCCCATATCCATCTAAACCCTTCCTATTTGTGTATCCATCCAGATGCCTTTTAAATGTTGTAATTGTAACAGGGAGGCAATGGCCTAGTGGTATTATTGCTGGACTATTAATCTAGAGACCCAGATAGTGTTCTGGGGACCCTGGTTTGAATCCCACCATGGCAGATGGTGGAATTTGAATTCAATAAAATATCTGGAATTAACAATCTACTGATGACCATGAATCCATTGTTGCTTGTTGGAAAAATCCTTTTCGTTCATTAATGTTCCTTAGGGAAGGAAACTGCCACCCTTACCTGGTCTGGCTTACATGTGACTCCAGACCCACAGCAATGTGGTTGACTCTCAACTGACCTCTGGGTAATTAGGGATGGGCAATAAATGCTGCTTGGCCAGTGACGCCCTCATCCCGTGAATGAATAAAGAATAAAAGAAAAGCCTCCACCACATCGTCTGGCAGCTCATTCCATATATGCCCCTCCCTCTGTGTGAAAAAGTTGCCCCTTAAAGGCCATTTTAAATCTTTCCTCTTTCACCTTCAACCTGTGTCCTCTAGTTTTGGACTGCCCCACCCCAGGGAAAAGACCTTGACTACTTACTCAACCCATGCCCCTCATGATTCTATAAACCTCGACAAGATCGTCCCTCAGCCTCCAACGCTCCAGGGAAAATAGCCTGACTCTATTCAGCCTTTCCCTGTAGCTCAAACCCTCCAAGCCTGGCAACATCTTTGCAAATCTTTTCTGAACCCTTTCAAGTTTCACAGTATGTTTCCTATAGCAGAAGATCAGAATTGAGCGCAATATTCCAAAAGTGGTCTCACCAATATCCTGGACAGCTACAACATGACTCCCCAACTCCTATCCTCAATGCACAACCAATAAAGGCAAGCGTATCAAACGCCTTCTTCACTACCCTGTCAGTAAATAACTTTGGCCCCAGCACTGATCCCTGTGGCACACCACTTGTTGTAAGTTGCCAAGCTAAAAAAATGCAACCCTGCTGCCTTATTCTAACTCTTTGTCTTCTAATAATTAGTTCATTTTCTATTCATCCTAATTTATTACCTCTAATATCATGGTCTCTTATCTTGAACATATTCAGTGATTTGGCCTCCAAAGCCTTCTGTGGTAGAGAATTCCAGAGGTTCACTATGCTATGAAGAAATATTTCCTCATTTCAGTTCTTTATTGTCTATCCCAAAGCCTGAGACAATGACCCCTGGTTCTAGACTCCCCAACCAGAGAAAACATCACCTTTTATCTAGCCTGTTCAGCCCTGTTAGAGTTTT